TTTGCTGCTTCGAATAGGATCATTCTTCTTGATAACAAAAGTACAAATATCCCACCATCAGCTTCGTATCACCAGCGTCATCATAGCCGCAAAATACCGCCTGTGTGCTAAGACGAACCATCCCTCGACCCGGGTTCGATTCCCAGCTCAGACATTCCTACTTGTCGCGAAATTCTCATCATTGCTCAGCATCAGCGATCCCCTGCCACCATTCACTGCCGCCTTCACCAACAGATCATTGAAATGTATCGAAGACGCCTCAGATGAGTCAGTCTCAGTGTTATCCTAACAAGGGAAAGGTCCTAGGTTCGATTCCCGGGAAGCGAACCTATTTACATGCCTACAATACAAGTAATATTCCAAAATCGAGGTCCGCTTCAAAAGCGAGAGTTTGCTGCGACAACCTCTACCGCCCTCCCAAAGGTCCCGAGTTCGATCCCCAGCGCCTCCCCCTACTACCACATCTCCATTATTCTCCCCTTCTTCCTTCTTTTTCTTCCCACTCTTATCCAACATAGGATTCGTATATACAAATTTCTTCGCCATATGAACCTTCTCGTGTATTGGCACACCATCCTGTACGTGGGTCGACCCTAACACACAACAGCATCATCATCACCATTCAACTATGTATATGGAAGTATGATCGCTTCCCACAACTAAGCTCCAAAATTTCCTACACAAACTTATATGCCAAGTCGGATAAAAGTTCACAGAAACGAACAAGAATCTCCCAAGATTTCCTCGCAATTTTCATATCGTCACCAACACATGTGGTCGCCCATGTGCATATTTTCCAACACCGACCAGTGTCGTAATATATGTAATCGCTTCCCTCAGCTGACCCTAGGAGCTTCCTTACTCATTATAGGAGTCCATATACAAAATTGGGTGGAAATGTACAGACACCAACAAGAATTTTGCAAAATTTCCTCAGGAATTCCATATCGTCACCAACACATGTGGTCGCCCATGTGCATATTTTCCAACACCGACTATCACCACCTGAATCGCTGGATACTGTCAAAGTGAATGTAGACGGGACAGAGGCATCCTCCACGCATTTGCCGTTAGCAACAGCACAGCTCTTCACCGTGAGGTATATATATCCCATATCGCAATTGATATATTGCACCTGCCATACCACACTTCCTCCACTTCACAACTACAACCCCTCCCCCTCACCTTGCCAGGATGAGCCTGTGCATAGTACTTCATATTAGTAAGAAAGATCTCATTCGATCCCTCCATAGTGTTAAACGTGTACCTGCCATCCAACCCTGCGTTGAGGAATTGCAAGATTGCAAGATTACTACTACCCTCTAGGGTCGTGACTATATCTGGTAGTGTCTGCGAATATCGCCAGACCGCTACCATCTCTCGACGAATCTCCCACTATAGAGAGCACAATCCTAGCATGCTTGGGCACCCAGTATCTAAAACCGTCAAAACATATTTCTCAAAGACCACAACAAGCGTTCAAATATATATGCTATGTCCGCCTCCCTCAGCCGAGTTCAGCACATATTTTCCTCGCCAATTAAACAAGTTTACATACAAATTGGAGTAGAAGTGTGAAAAAACCGATGAGAATTTCCCTCAGAATTCTCATATTGTCACCAACACATGTAGTTGACCAAGTTCATATTTTCCCACACTGCCCACTATACGTTGTTACCGGAAATCACGGAACTTCCGCGAGTCGCTGATGGTTACAGTAGTCGGCTTGCCGTCCTGAAGGTCTCTTACGGTGCTACCTACCACAATCCAACCTCGCTACAGCAACAACAACAACAACAATATGAACATAAACAACAACAACATAAACAACAACAATATGAACATAAACAACAACATAAGCAACAACAACATAAACAACAACAACATGAACATAAACAACAACAACATAAACAACAACATGAACAAAAACGACACAAACAACAACAACAATAATAACAATAACAATAACAATAACAACAACAGCCACTGACTTACTGGTAGTGACTGTGAGCTCGAAGGGCATCTCTGAATTTTCATGCCATCCAGTTGGTGGAGTAACCGATACATACACCACTTCCCCTTGACCACTATGAGCCTCCAGACTGGACTTATCGATGGCTATATGACCATCACCGTGATCCCTCCATGTCTGCCCTGTTGGTGTCGTGTCCGCTACTATGCGTGGAAGTGATCCCGACTGAAAAGGAGGCAGCGAGGTTCAACACAAAAAGATACGGATTAGGCCCAATCCAAAGATTCCCCAGCAAGTCCCCTAGAGACCACTTGCAGAAACAGTGCAGAAAACTATATACATTCTGGAGAAAATTTTGTGTACAGTTGGTTTTTGTTGTATACTTCTACTCCAAATACTGTGTAAATTCTCGTGAAGTGGTGAGGGAACTTATTTTCTCAGCTGAGGAAATCGAACGTATATTCCGACACCTCCTACGAAGAGCGGCAATATAACCTCATTTACCTGTAGTTCGCCAGGCCTGCTGGCCGCCTCCTTAACAGCATTGGCAGATACTGGGTTGGCAGTAATTGTGAGATCAGTACCTGAAGAATGCGTCCACCAGGGATCGAACCCGGGACCTTCGGATTACTACCCTTATTAAAATAGGTACGGAACCTCCTCACCCGTTGTGATCCCTTCCCCGGTATCACAGCATACATAGGAAGACTCTGCATAACGAAAGGTCCCTGCGGATTCTGCGAGACCACCAACCAGAACCTGTCACTAAATTCGTCACGCGCCACAAAATTCCCCCTACGTTGACGCGCTGGCAAACAGTTTATTCGTCTTCACCACAACACACAGCTCCGAACCCGGTCCCAACCCGGCACTCGAAAGTTGATCATTTGTGATGGTTACCGTGTCTGGACCATCGACGGCTGATACCGCCAACGACTGCTCACTCCCGCACGCATGAACCTACCATCATACCACTCCAATCTCAACACACATTTAATTCTACAACTACCATCAAGTCCGTCTCTCCCACAATCTGCGCGACAGTAATAGTGATGGGGGGGATCACTCCATCGCTCGCCTCAGTAGGAGGAGTATTGGGCAGAACCACCTAAATCACAAACAACTACTACTCAAACCTATCATAGTTAGGTAATACTGTAGTACTGTGTCACTACTAATATGTAGTGACACAGTACAAACATATCTACTAATAGGTAGTATTGTGTCCAGTTAGGAACCTAAATGGGCTCCTAACTGGACACAGTACTACCATAATATCTTGTCGAATCCAGAAACTCGTTTCTAGTATGCAATATCGGACATCGACGGAGCGATGCAAAGGTTACTATTTTTCTACCTCAAACTTCAACGCGAAATTTCAGCTATAGCCTCGCGACATGTAGTTGTATTCGTCTTGTTTTTTCCGGGGAAATATTGTTACTATTAAAGTACTGATAGTACCGAAAGTTTAAATGATTAGGGATTAACGCGAAGTACAAGAC